AAAAGTCATTTTGTACAGAGAACCGATGAAACGACACGAAAGATACGCGCGCTTCGAATCACATTTGTTTACCGTCTCTCCCGTAACTCGACCATCGGTTAAGCTTTACGAAGGATCAACGGAAAGCAACGTGTACGTGGCAATTAACGCGTTAACGTTCTTTATAGCCTGTAAAACAGACCGACGTTCATTCCGACGTCGACCCGAATTCCTCCCGATGTGTTCGCAGAAGCACAATCGCGCGATTTACGAACCCCACCGCGACGGGAAAGAATCGTCTCCGAGAATCGTCGCGGGTGAGATACGACGCGACGTTTCTCGGCTTCTCGTAAATCCGACAACGACGTTCGGTGACAAAGGGCGCGAACACCGTGTAATCGGCGCGGATTCGTGTATTATCCGCCGATGGAAGAGAGAGATAACAGTTATCCGGCGGCGTATCTCGTCGAGAGGAAGGCCCCCACAGTCGAGAAATTAAATTGCACCGTATCAAGTCGCGTCAAAATAAAAGCGCACGTACTCCTCCCGGCGCTTACGTACGCTCTTGCGCGCGCTCTCTCTCTCTCTCTCTCCTCCTTTTCTACACGCGTGTGTCATTTAGTTAATTAAAGTTTCGCGGGCTCCGCACGGCCACATAGCATCGGGGAATTTAATAGCGTGCGGGGCCGCGACGATGTATGCTTTATCTGATGTTACACTGCAGTTTGCGACTGACGTGCGCCGCACGATGCGCGGAGGTGCGACGGTGAACCGGTGGATGGCAGGAGGAAGGGGGAGGGAGGACGACAGGAGGTCGGTAAACCTTTTAGGCTTTATTAGATCGCCGGTTAATGACCAATCAGCTGCGTCATACGACCGCACCTTTCCTTCGCTATTAACCGCTTCTCCCTCGTGAACGCGGGCTTTTATTTACCTATCTTCCCCTCCGACCCCCTTCCCCTCCCGCGTGTTAATGGAACTGTCCCTTGATCCTCGCTAAGGCAACATCAGCGATCCTCAGTGACATCCTCGTAAAGGAACGTTAACGTTAGAGGTATTCCCTCGTTCGTTCTTCATGTTATTCAATAACCACCTGCCACGGAGATTTTCCGCGGATTTTCGCGCACCACGTTCCGTTGCTGCCTTATTTCAGTCCCTCGCGAGTGAACAGTTGAAAGTTCCAGCTACGCCGATCAATCGTCCGTTAAGACGAAACTCCCCGAGCCGGAATTTTAGTGCTATTACAAAGATACTTTGCACCTTACGCCTGTAGACTAACTTCACGATACTGACGCTTGTTAACTTCTCTCTTGAACCTTTAGTTCCGTAGAGAATTTAGCTTCAGTTCTGCAGAATCTAATTTTAATGCTACTTTGGAAAAACCTGCGCCAAAATTTCTACGCTAAAAGCAACAAAAGCGGAAATTTAAGGAGTTGTCGTGATTAAAATAAGAGTTACATCATCAGAATTGTACTTAATTTTGCTACATTAGCCTCCCACTGCGTTATAGAATCGAAAGTTTAACGTGAGGCGAAAAATTTCGCGTGGGGGAGTATCGTCTCCATGACGACGGAATGTTCCGGATTTTCCTCCGTTAGAAAGCGACGGCGCACGGCGCTTCTCTCAATCTAGCAACACTATCGCGGTTTATTGGGTCACCTGTAAACGATTCGAGTTTCCAGCAATTAGCAATTGCGTGAGTCATTATGACCGCTAGGATAGAAGTAGGAAAATTATATATAATAACGATTTAAGTTTAATCTTATTACTCACATTCTAACAAAGTGCCAGTTCCAGTGAGGTTACTTTTTCGTCTTCTTTCGCTTAAATTTGCACAAAACGCGTCCGTATCGTTTTTACGGAACGACTCGCTCAATGGTGGCGATCAAACGATCGCCGTCTCGTCCTTTTCCCCGAATTGCGTCGGGGTTGTTTGATCAGCCGAATTCTCCTTCGCGACCGCTTCACGACGTCGAACTGTCGCGTGTTTTGTACATCCGCGCATTCGCCGGACGGGTTAATTGTAGAAAGGTCGAGTCACCGTTACGCGTCCTATAAATCGGAGGCGCACGCGTAGTATTTCAGGGCCCGGCTCGATGACGAACGTTACGGCGCATTCGGAATTGTCCGGGACGTCGCCGCTGCAATGGTAGATAATTCACCGGCCATCGCAAATCGATGACTGAATTAATTACATTCGAGTGACGGCGCGGTCGCGTAATTTATTCGTGATTTCAGGGCGAAGGGGGGGGGGCGGGATTTTATCGAGCGGCACGACGTTTCCGCTCGCGATGATGAAGCAGCCGTCACGATGAATTTTCCATGTAATTCATATATACATATATTTTTTGATGTATTTATTATTCTTTGCTTTTATTTTTACATTTTTATGCATTTTATACATTTTATACATTATTTTACGTTTTTATATTTTCTTGTATATCTTTAATTTTAAATATTACATTTATTAGGTGTGTATATGTAGTTTTAATCTTTTTTTTTTCACATATTTTCATCTTACTTTCATACGCTCAAAAAACAAACTATATGGCACATACATGGGCCGACATATTCATAGTCGGTTCTTATATGTAAGACTGTCTTAAGTTTATCTTCAGACGCTGATCGGCTTATTTCATTGGTTACGAAGAAGCGATTGAAGACGAACTTAGGACGGTCTTAAGTGTAAGATTCGGCTAAAAATACCGGTACTCAATACTTATTTACTTATATTACAACGTTTTCCAACGATTTAAGATTCTTTCTCGAATTCCTTCGAGTATCGCAAACGCGCGTCTCATTTCGCTGGCTGTGAAACGTCAGATGACGCGCGACAGCGAATCGCGAATTGCGCAAATATCCGTGAACACAGTTCGTACGTATAGACGCGAGTTTTTATTTTCTCGAGTAAAACTCCGCTTCCACGGGAACGAGCCTGGCGTTTCGTTTCGAGCGATACAAACGGTATCGATAGGTCGCGCAACGCCCCTCGCACGATTACTTCCAGAGCGATCTCTCGTAAAAAATTCACTCGCGCGAGTAGAGGAGAGCAGCGGCGACGTGGTGGCGATTAGCACCTCTCGTCGGCGCCTTTCCACTTGGCAACTAACGAGAGATCTCCGCTCGGTCCGCGAAAATATTTCGAAAATAGTTCCCAGTCTCGCCTTAACGATTTTTATTAGGCCGGCTTTCATATTCCATGCGCGCGAGATAATTTTTTGGACGCGCGCACAGCCATTATCCCGATTCGTGCTCGCGATTCGCGAACCGTTGCGGAGGCGTATTATTATGCGCGTCCTGGAATCGCGTTCTCGCTTTCAAAATTTTACTTTCCTCCCTGTGTGCCCGATTCCACGTGTGAGATACGACGGATCGCGTTTTGTTGCTCTAGTATTAAGTGTGTCTCGTCGATGCCGACCGCGAGAAAAGCGCGACTACGACTTGAGTCGAAATTTTCATGCTACTCTGACGCTCTTAAGAATTGTTTGCGCCTAATTAAACAGCCTATAGTAAAACGGTATATAATAAAAACCTGCTTGAACGATATGATAACTCTTCACTTTTCTCTTGAATATCAAATTTCGCAGATTTCATTTTTATACCACTTTGAACGACCTATTTCGATGCTAAAACAGTAAAAACGGAAATTTAAGACTTCAAATTAGGAGTAGGAACAAATTATATTATCAGAATTGAGTTTGTGTGTGTGTGGGTGTGGGTGTGTGTGAACCTCTCCTACACGGAGAAAAATAATTTGCTGGCACAGCAGATTTCATGCTGTCGCAGCGAAACCTGCCAGTTACTACGTGGACAACAAAATGAATTGTTAAGAGTACTAATTGCCATTCGTCGAATATATATTTGCTGACTCTACAAATTATTTTGTTCTAAGAACAAATCGGTAAATGTAGCAAAACACTGTTTTCTTCCGAACAGGAAATTAACAAACGTGCCTTGAGGGCAGATTTCAGCAAAATATTCCCATCCTAGGAAGAAAACTGTTTCTGCGCTGATTTACGAATTATTCGCTACGACAACAAAATTACTCATCTCCGTATACTGCGTTGTAAAATCGACTCGGGCCGAAATCCCTGATTTTTCCTTACTCTCCTGTCGAGTATTCCACTTGAGTATTTAGAAAGTGTGTCAAAAAATGGCCGAAAAGTCGTTCGATCCGGCGCGACGAAATATTCTCGAGGACAACAACGCGGAGGTATCATCATCGTCGTCGTCGTCGTCGCTCGTGAAAATAAGGCGCGGCGCTCGGTTGGTGTTTGGCTTCTGCCCGAAACGAAAACGAGTCTTTATTGACCGTCGTTTGTACATCGGTGATACAATAAGAAGACGACTGAATGGGTCCCGCGGAATTCCGATTTCGCCGTCTCTTGCGCGTCTGTTTTGTAATAATTCAGTCTCACGCCGATTACTTATAAGTCCGCTCTCGGCCGGCTGTCTCTCGCCGATGAAATTCGGATGTATGTAGGTGGCGATTTTGTTATTCGGCGACCTCAGCGGTATCGGGGACAAGCGAGAGAGGCCCACGTAATATCTCGGCACCCAGGCATTTCACGAGCGAGCGAGTTTCTGCGCAAAAACCGACTTCTTTCAGGGATACCGCCGGGTCGGTGATAAATCGACCCTCCCGATCGCGATCGATGCAATTTATCGTACGCAATTATCACCTCTCGACGACTGTTTTGCCCATCAGACGCGTAGACTCCTGCGCGGAAATAATCTCCGGGTCCACAAACCAGCAGACGAACAAACACGGACGGAAACGTGGATTTGGGCTGATTTGCATAAGTGCAATTCGTAGATAACTTCCATTTTAGTGCAGTCGAGTAATCGTCGCACGCAGGTAAGGCGGAAAAAGATCGTAACGGCGCGTCAGTGTGGCAAGCAGGCAGGTTGTAGTCGCGGGGGAGAGAGAGAGAGAGAGTGAGTGAGATATAAAGAAAGAGTGGGGATCATAGTTGGATGGCAGAACCGCTGGAACACCTCAGTGTAGAGTCGGACGCCCGTCGTCGCTCTTCTCTCTACGTCGTCTGCCGGTTTCTCGTTTCCTTCGTCGTTTCGCTCGCCCGTCGGTCTGCGCCGGGGCTCTACGGACGCGGAAATTGCACGGTCTCGGACTTACGTAACGTTTCAAATCGCGACAGGCTTTAGTAAGCGAGCGAGCGAGCGACTCGAAGTGGAGCAGAGAGTTTCTCTCTTCCCTTCCGCGGGGGAAACGCGGAGAGAGGATGAAAAGCGGCCGGTGGTGATCGACGCGACGACGACTGGCGGGGGGTGTCTCGCGCGGTCCTCTCGTGCGAACCTCCCCTTGATTCCGGCAGTGATATTCGAGGCCTCCCGAAGTCGAAGTTGCGAACGCTCGCTCCTCGGAGTCGGAGCCGCGCACGTGAGGGTGAACGGCCCTCGTGAGCTTTCATAAACGGAGCCGAAGGACGACCGGTGAGGCGATCTTCAAAAACTGCATACGCTTTTGCGCGCGCAGTCGGCGGTTCTCGGAGGCCGCTTTCAGCGACCGGGCGACGCCGAAATCGGCGGAAATCGACTCGGATCCTCCTCGTTTCCTCGGGAGGAACTGATCATTCTCCCGGGGGCAAACAGCGGGGGCATCCCTTCCTGGGGAGTGGCGGAGGGAAAACAAAAGTATCCCCGTCCGTGGGCGCTCGTGAGAGGAGAGGAACAGTAGCTGTGGCGAAGCGTGCGGGCTCTCCGCAAATATCGCTGTTCTCCACTCGCGCTCCGGCCGCGCGCTTCCCCGCGATCCCGCCTGTGGAAGAGGATGGAAAACAGCCCCGCGCGATCTCGCGCGCTCTCCTGCGTATTAATTCACACGGACGCGCGGAGACGTGCGTGCACGACGCGCGCGCGTGTGTGCTCTCGCGTTGCGTACGTGCGCGCGCTTTAGACCAAGTGTGTGTACAAAGGCGCGCGCGTGCGGCGTGTACAAACATTTCGGAGAGCTTTCGTAGCCCTGAGTTCAAGCTTCAAGACGCTTGAATATCCCGCTTGAATATCTCGCGACTCAAAGAGAGAGAGAGAGAGGGACAGCCGCGAAGAGTGAATTCTTTCCGACGTAAAGGAAGATACGGGGCTTTATGAAACCGGAGTGACAGAGAAAGAGAGAAAGAGAAAAAAGCCCGAGAGAGAGACATGCCTTTGGCCCTCGTAAAGAGATTTCCCGGAGGAATGCCGTCGCAGACGATCGAAGTAACCCGCACCGCCGCTCCTCCTCCGACACTCTCCGCGTGATCTCGCGCTTGTTCCCCGGGCGGTGAGGCAGTCGCTAGCGGAAGATGCGCCTTCGGAAACTCCGCTGGACCGCAGCGTAGCAAATTCGTGGGTCCGGGGTGCGCGGGTCAGTGAGGTGCGTGTGTTGCGTTCGTGTGAAGCTCCGAGGTTCCCGGTTGATTCCCGGTGGCGCGCGCACCAGGTGGCGGACCGAGTACCGCCGAGGTATGAGAACGTCGTGGGATACTACCCGGTGACCGAGAAACCGCACGCGAGACGCCGAGAGCGCGGGGAGGGCGGACGGCGTTCATCGTGGGTGTTTTTCGCGTGGGCGAGAAGAGCGACCCGAGGCTGAAGATGGCTTTGATAACGTCTAGGATCAGCTCGCCCGTCGTTCGCGACAAGGAGAATATTCCGGCTTACGATGTACGTACATGTGTGTATGTGTGTGCGTACACGCGTTCCACCTCTCCCCCTTCCTCCTCCTCCGAGGACGTCGCGCGCGTTTTCTTCGCGGCGATTATCGCATTGCCTACGTGCCACGTCGGTGCAGGTGCGGTTGCCGCCGTGTTACGCGTTGAAAATAAGCGACGACGACGACGACGACGACGAATAACAACACGCGTGCCGTACGGGCGCGAGGAGGATTAATAAATCGCCGTCTAACGACCGTGCGACTGCCGGCTTTATTAGTGTCCGGTTAATCTCGACTCTCTGATGTCTGCGAAAGCGCGCCGACACGCGTTGAGAATGGAAGAAAGGGAGAAACGGAAAGGGGCGAGGAGAGAACGTTTTCTTCGGCAATTAACTGGATCTATTGGTCGCGCTTTTCGTCCCTTTTCATATCGCCTCTATCGCGAGGGAGCAGCCTCGATCGATATGTTGACGCTGTTCCTCAGGATAGTTCGTGCCTACTTGGATGGCTTATAGACTGGTGAACATCTATCCTGACGATATTATTGCGCTCGTTAACTCACCTCTGGAATTTTTAACTCTACAGATTTAATTTTGATTTTGACTTTGAATAACGTATGTTGACGGTGAAAACGGAGATTCATAGCGTCGTCAGGGTCGAAGTGACAGTAAATAATATCGTTGGAATTAAAATTAAAATTAAAATTATGTATTGTAAAATCAAAGGTTTAGCGTTAAGCCAAAATCTCGGGAAAACAGATTTAATAGCAGCGTCGTTTCGGGGCCGAAGATTCCGATTATTCCTCGTCTTGCTTGCTCGTCACGCGTACGCGACTTCGAAATGCCCAAGTTTAAGAGTTTTACGACCGGTACGTTTCCGCTTCTTATCGCGAGGCGCGCAACGGTATTGCGCCGCGAGTGTCGTGTCGGCACTCGCGGGAACAAATGGACGAGCCTAATGAAGCGACGATTAATTACGACCACCCGGGCGACGGTGTACCTACTCTATATCCTCTGGGAAAAGAAAACGGTGCTGCGGCGCTAATTATTTGCCGGCGGTGATAAGGACGGCGACCGGTTCCGAGGTGTTCGCCCACTTAGCGCTGGCTATGCGCGCGCATTGTTGGCGATGCGCAATCGCGCGCTATTTACATTCCGTTATCTCCGTTATTATGCCGGCGTATAACAGTCTACCGAGAGATTCTGTAACGCGAAACCGTTCGCGGTACGCGTCTCTCCTCCTGCTCCTGTGCAACTTTGTGCAACGAAATTTCTCAATCCCGAGCGCGCGCGGCGAAAGCGTCGCAGCGCGAATCCGCGGAAATTTTCTCCCCGAACACGAAGGAGTTGACTTCGTGATCTCCTCTTCTTTCCCTTCTTCCTCTCGCCACGCGCCCGGCTAAAGGTTGACTCACACTATCCGTCTAAACGGCCATTAATCCAAAATTTCGATGCTATTTTCACATTCTTAAGGATAATTCATGCCTGTTTAGATGGCCTACGGAGTAGTAGAAACCTACTTCGACGATACCACACTTGCTAACTTTTCTCCCTTGAACCTTTAATTCCACAGATTTGATCTGGCGCTATCTCGAAGCTACAAATGCCCTCAATATTATGATTATTTCATATGAGTTAAGTTCATATGAGTATTCAAAGCAACCTGGCTGAATTATGTGAATCCAGTCTAACGTCGATACTTTGGCGGTGAGGGATCCGCTCACCTGCCTCGCCTTCAGTCATAATTTAGCTCAGGTTCGCGCGGCGGCCTCCTTCGGTAAATGCGCACGCGGAATGAGCCTCAAGACATCGTTGCGCTCGCTATCTCGCCTACGGCTGCCCTCCGTGGAGACGTTTCAAAATGCGTTCCCCGGTTCGCGTGTGCGTGCGAATTCAGCGCGGTAATACGGCAAGAAGGGAATTTACCGATAAAAAACGCGCTGCACGTGCTAGTAGCACTCTTTCGTCGTTGACAAGCGTCCATATATCGCGCCGTGTAATGAGCGATAGACAGCCGCGTAAGCGGCATTTGCTTAGCTGAACCGGACGGGCACGCCGTGAAACGTTCGGCGTTTCAGCAGCGCGGAACTGCTTCGCGGTTTAACGTTCGTCGTAGAAACGAGCGCGAATTGAGCCCATTAGAAGCCGTAATTGCTTCGTAAACACGTTTTTTCATGAATCATTTGTCCCCCCTTTGTTTCCCGAGGGTCTCACGCGTCGGTAACAGAACTATTCTTACCGAAAGCATAGATGCAACCCTAATTAGGTTCCGAAAAGACAAGAGTAAATGTTGTATACGTTAATCGTGTGATTGTTTTATTGAATGCAAAAGAAGCGTTCCTTAAGTGGAACAATGGGCCACTGATGGGTGAAGGATGAGAGACTGCAGCGTTTTTCCCAGCCTCAACTTTGACGTTTGGCGAAAGCTCGCTCACGAGAACGCTTTGATCCGACGTATCCCCGCGAGATCGTAATTGCGCGAGAAATCCGGGTTCTTCTTCTCCTTCTTCTTCCTTTGCTTCTTTTGCATCTACCGCTTCTTCTTCTTCTTCTCCTTCTGATGCGATAAGTCGGATCGTTGTGGCCGTACATGGTAGTTTTGCATAAATTAAGACTGTTATGGCAGCTTCTCGCCGCGCGCGCGCGCGCGCTCAATAGTTGAACCTACTTTACGCACTTTACGACCGATTTTATATGGACGGAGTTATGGCCATGTAAGTTAAGCCGAATGCATATCGCTTGGCCGTTGATGAAATTTTCAGTCCGGCATGAAGCGAGAAATGATTTGCATAATGAGAGACACCATTCGCCAAGTTACGAACTCTTACCTTTGGAGAGGCGAACTCTCGTGTCGCTCGCGATCGAGAAAATTTTCTCCTCCCGAACTTCCTCGATAACAGGCCTCGATCGTCTCCGAACGGACGTTGCGAAACCCAACTTTTCTCAAGTCGAGGCTCGGTCCTGTTGAATTTTTAAATTCTCCAACATAGTAAGAGCTAAGAAAGCAAAATAAGTTCAACTTTAATAATCCAATTTGTCCTCTGCTTTGATTATGATGATGTCTTAAATTTTCGATCTTGTTGCTTTTTATCGCCTGAACAGATTGTTTTGAATACTCATGTGAATTTAATAACCGAAATATCAGGAGCACTTATAGCTTAAAGGTAGTATTAAAATTAAATTTGTCGAATTAAATGTGTTTAAGAGGAAGAAAGAAAGAGAGGTAGAGAGCAGTTAAGGGGGTGCTAAAGTCGATGACGAATTTAATAAGCGTTGATTACGATTAGATCCTCAAAATATTACGTTACACGACAACAAACATTGACACGACTACTCTTTTTGTATTGTTCGTGCGCATAGATATTACGTAAAAATATAAGTGCGATATAATAATGCGAATGCGATAAATGTGTGCTATTCTGTTTTATCACATATCTATCGTATGAAGCGCAAACTTGACAGAAAAAGAATCAATATTCTGTCGGTAAAGTTTTCAAGTACAATATTCTCTTTTAACAAGCGTAGTATCGTCAAAATAAACCTTTACTAGTCTATAGACCATCTAAGCAGGCGCTGTATCATTAAGGCCGTCAAAGTAGCAGCAATATTTCAACTCGTGACTTTTCCACTCTTTCCTCTTGTTCGTTCATTTGTTCGCATAGACATAACAGTGCTGCGCCACGTATCGCTTTATCCGTTTATTAATGGAACGACTTCCTCCCGTCGTTTCTTACGGCAACCCCGTAATTATTTCAGGCACGCTCTCGCTCACACCCTATGCGATTCCCTCTCCCTTCTTCCCCCTCTCTTGATCACCCTTATCCTCGGTATATCTAGAATAATTAATTTGACCTGTAACGCCAGGTGTCAGCGTTCGCCCGAACGCATTTATGTATCACAGCGAGGCACGCTCACCGACCGTGCACACACCTCTTCGCACACTACCAATGTGCATTATAACTGTACCAGGGCGTGGCTCTAGCTCGAACATTGCGACTCGCACGCGCTTTTGCACCGAATCTCATAATAGCCAGTTAGATCGATCCGCCGTGGTAGCTGGATACCGGCGATTATCCTTAGCGACCTGTGCGAACACGAGCGCTGCGAATCGCCGCATACTGTCTCCTCGTCCGATTGTCCCGTTATTTCCTCGACTCCTCCCATAAAAATATTCCCAGGCCTTCCCGTATATACGGTACAGCTTCCGATTCAAATAGCCCAAGTCGTTTTAAACTGAGTTATCCCTCTATGATACTAATTGAGAATCTCATTTTTATCCCAAACACAATATGAAGCCCTTTCCCGCGATGCTGATTGGCTGTGCGCTACAGTTTGCTTCGTGTCACGCGCGATTGTCGTCGCCAAAGTTGGTGACGGTTTGACCGAATATCAAATTGAGAGATTAAAACGGGGTTGTATTTTTCGTGTTACTATGATTAATAACACACACGTGTGCATGTATGTGTGTATGTCATATAAAATGTAAATACTTAAAATGTTTTTTGTTCAATCTGTATTTCGTTCAATCTCAGTTCAAAGCGGAAATCAAAAGAAATCTTTAGGAAAACGTCGGAAGGGTGAGAGAGAGAGAGAGAGAGAGAGAGAGAGAGAGAGAGAGAGAGAGAGAGAGCAAATAGAATCCGTTTCCCGCTTAGAATGTCAGCATGTTCGAAACACTACACTTTAAACCAGCACCTGTGCGCGCATAATTCCCGGTTGGGATCCGTAATTATCTTAGGAAATCGGACTGGATGCCAATTAGAACCCGAGAAATTTTCTACGCGTGTTCCACCTGGGCGAGGTAACATCTCGCCTCGTCTATTTCTCGGTGTATCGATCGTCAGCCAATACGCATATGTTAGCTCTTCTCTCTCTCTCTCTCTCTCTTTTGCTCAATATTTACGATGCAAACCCGACGCGCGATTTAGGAGTTACCGAGATGTTTACAGCGCACATCCTCGAGACGAGCCAGCTCGTCCTTGAGGGGGATCCTTCGCGCGTGTGCGCGCGTC